AGTTATGCCATAAGTCTTTCGCTGAGCGAGTTGTTAGTCAGGTGGTGCAGATCTCTCATATGGCGACGGCGTGGGGCTTGGAAGCAGATTCGGCTGCGGGGCAGTGTAGGAACCTGATTTACAAACCCGACCCTAAACCCTAAACCCTAAACCCTATAACCCCAAGATATTGGGATTCCTTTACATAGCCCCAACAAAGGCCCCGGGATTCTTGATCAGGTTTCTACAAGAGTGTGTGTTTTTATCTCGTTCGAGGGTTGAGGGGACCAGGTTTTCGGATCTTGGATGTTGAGCTTGCAAGGGTTTTAGGGTTGGGGCTTCGGGAAGCTGTGTCTTTACCTTAGAGTTTGATGTCCGGATGCCGCGAAAGTTAGTCCCCCAAAAGTTTCGAAGGTCTGAATGAAGATGAGGCATCCCTGAACGATTGGAGCGCTCCATGCTTTTCGGTTGGTAGAAGGCTTTATTTCCAAGGTCTAGGGGGTGAAGCGTTTCGGGTCTTCGTCATTTCTGAAGTCTTTCGTAAACCCCCCTGAATCCGAAGAAGATCGGGTCGCACAGCGGTCAGGTGCGAGAGTTCTGTGTGGAGGCCCCTTCGGACATCGAGGAGGGGCGATGAACTCAGTCGAACCCTAAACCCTAAACCCCAAACCCTAAACCCTAAACCCTAAACCCTAAACCCTAAACCCTAAACCCCTAAACCCTAAACCCTAAACTGTTTCCGGCATGTGCCGGCCATCCTGTCGGATTCAAGGCATCGAGGGTTCAACTTTCGAGGCCCAGTCATGTAGGGGCCCTTAATGATCACCTATACTATTTTGGGGGGGCTTTTTGTTAGAATTCTTGAAAAATGGGCCTCAGAACCCCCTATTCTAACTATTAAGGCTCTAATAGTTCTCGCCAGGTTTCCGGTACTGTAGGCTTGCATGAGGCTGTTCGCGCATAGGGAACCTGAGATAAAGGAAGACCCTGAATAGTCTCTTGTGGTCTATTCAGAAGGAAAGCCGAAGACACCCACTATTCCACTCAAACTTACGTCGCTCTAGCACTGAAGCCCATCAAAAGAGCTCACCCCAGCGAATTCTGAGCCTACTACGCAGGATAGGGTCTTGGCGTCTACGATTTGTCTAACAGAATTGGGGTCAGACGGAATGCTCTTGCGAACTAGTAAGGCCATATCCGTTACTTCAGTCTAAACCCTGAGCCCTAAACCCTAACCCCTAAACCCTAAACCCTGAACCCTAAATCCGAAACCCTGAACCCTAAACGCTAAACCCTGAACCCTGAACCCTAAACCCTAAACCCAAAAGCCTAAACCCCAACAGTGGAAGGCCCAAAGCTGCGGCATCGGCGTGTGCCGGACGGTCAACACTCAAAGTTATCACGTCCCCAAGCCCCTAAATTCCCAAATCCGAAATCCGACACCCTATTATGGTGACTCTATTATGGTAATTCAAGCCCCTTTACATAGAACCGTTACCGTAGCAATCTTGACCCTTACAGGAACATTCACTTTTAAAGACCCCGTCAAGACACCCGATTCAAATCACAACTGAGGAAGAAGTATTGCACGGTGTCCAAATGCATCGCTCTGAGACTTCCAAGACTTTGCGGGTTTGCTTCGGTGAGGTTTGGGGTTGAGGTTTCAGGGTGTAGGGTTTAGGGTTTAGGGTTTAGAGGGTATAAGGTGATCAGGCGAGTCAGAAGCGGGGGTATGAGTTCTTTGATTGAGACCGCTTCTCTCCAACTCCATTTCCCGCATGTATTGTGTCGTGGCAATGACAAAATGTTCCATAGAGCCCACAGGCCCTAGAAAGCCGTGTCGAAGTTTTCCAAGCAGCTTAAACCCCCATAAGACCCCATTGAAGTACACGGTATTACTGATGGCAGAGTATAACTCCAAGTAAGGAGCCCTGTTATTCATCAACACCCCCAGCCTACTTTCGTAGAAACCCGAAGCCTGGTGAGGGCCTCGCCGCCCGCCCAAACCTGCTTCGTAGAGAGGTCTTGCTTTTACATGGGTGGTTGTCAAAAGTATGGTCCCTTTTGGGGTACCCTAAATAATAGGTGCCGTATTATAATCAGGACCCAAAAAGGGACCATAGCTTTGAAAACCACCCACATGAGTGTTTGTTATAATCTGGGTCTTTGCAAGAAGGGTGTTGCTACTTGGGTTTAGGTGGTTGAAGGTCTCCAGTAGGTTCCCTTGTCTTCTGAAACACCCATTTCCATCCCTCGACAAAGCAGGGTCATGCCCTGACGACTTAAAACACCCTTTTAATGTGGGTTTAGGGTTTAGGTTCAGCACCGGGTCATATTTCAGGCTGGGGTGTGCCCCTTGTGCCTTTAGATTCTCTTCCCAAGCCTTGAGGGGCAGCGTAGAACTCCGCCGAGGCACCGAGTGGGCCAAGAGCATCGACTACGATGCCGATTTCTGTGCAGGGGTGCAGTACTACGAGACCAAGACCGTCCCCAAGGTTGGTGTTGCAGGTTTAGGGGTCCAGGCTCATCGGTGCTTGGGACGAAGTTGCGCGCCTCAAGCCCCCAAACCCTGAACTCCTGCGAGACTCCCCGGAACCTGACATGCGGCCAAATTCGTGATCCGGAAGTATTCCTAAACCCTACGTCCTAAACCATAGAGCATAAACCCCTAAATCCTAAACCCCTAAACCCCCTGAAGCCCAAACCGTAAACCCCTGCAGTGAACCCCAAACCCCTTCAATCCTGACCCCTATCCTTCGGTTTAGGATTCAGACGCTCAGTTCTATAGAACTGAGCGTCTGAATCCTAAACCGAGGCCCTAAACCCGAAACCCTAAGCTTTCTCGACCTCAACGCACTAAGCGGATCCCTAAGCCGTAAACTCAAACCCCCTAAATCACTAAATCCTTAAACCTTAAATCACTAAATCACTAAACCCCACCAAATCCCTAAACCCGTAAACCCCTAAAATCCTTAAATCCTAAACGCTAACCCCAAATCCCTAAACCCGCGACCCTAAACCCGAAACCCCTAAACGCTAAATCCCTAAATCCCTAATCCCTAAACCCCTAGATCCCCAAAGCCCTACATCCCTAAATCCTAAACCCCGAGCATCCGCAGCAGCAGCAGAATCCAAGACACCCTCCCCTTGAACCACGCAAAGCTTTTAAGGTTTATGGTTCAGGGGTTAAGGTTTAGGAGTTAAGGGTTTAGGGGTTTAGGGTTTAGAGTGGAAGCCCTCACAGCCCATCCGTTGTGGTGAGGGCTTCCGGAAGCCTTGAACCGCACCCTACGATGAGCCAATATTTGCGGCGAAATCCCGAAACTCACACCCTGAAGTCGGTTTCTTCATTTTTGCATAGGGTTTGGGGAAGTGGGTTTGGGCTTTAGAGTTTAGGGTCTCGCTTTCTTCCTTTAGGATTTAGGGTTCGGGCTCCTGAGCTTTGTGCAGCTTAAGTAGTCTTTACATACTGATTCCTGAAGGCCTCAAACCCCAAGCCCAACGTCCCAAAGCCCTGAATTTAGGACATTTTCAGGTGGGTAGCTACCGTTATAGGAGCCTTGTAGAAGGTGTATATGCCTTATAGAAGCCTTACAGAAGCCCTATATATCCTAAACTCCCCACCTGTAGTTTCCTTTAACTGAATGACTTCTGCAGACCAAAGACAACGAGACCGACTACACTTCAGAGGAGATGGTCACCAACAGCGAGGCGATCAGGTTCTGTCATGAAACTAGCGGGGACCTTTCACTAGGACTCCCGGTAGTACCTTTGTGCACTTGTGATTTTGGGGTTGCTATATCAAGATTTAATAGTAACTGAATTGTAGGAAGAAGGGTACCCCCAAGAAAACAGGGGGTTGCTGAGGGACTAGTTCATGAATAAGCCCACCTCCTTTAAGAAGGAGTACGCTGGGGCTCCCGATATGTCGTCATCATCCGGGCTCTTCTTGTGGGCCTTGCTTCCGACTGCTGGTCCTGTATCTGATCTGGTGTTCTGGTCTTACTGTGTTTTGTTCTGCTCATGGGTTGCGCGGCATAATTCTTCACATCATATCATGGCAAAACATATTGCAGATATAATATTCCAGCATCATACTCCTGTAAGGTGTCTTCCATGCGCTGAAGTACTACAGATGGAAAGCCCTTTAGTATCATGTCAGTCTTTCGGAGGATTCTAGAGAAGAAAGTGTCGGAAATTCTTCGGGGTCTTTAGGTGTCACAAGGGCCGTAGCAGCATCATCTTCATGACTGACCTCACCCCCCCCCCCACCTTTGTCTCTGAAGTCGGGGGCCAGAGCCAGATGGTGGAAACTTGGTATTCCAGACTTTCCACCTGGAACCATCAGACCCACACCAGCTCGACCCTGCATCCCCTCTTTTTTCATGGCGCTTCATGCGATTCCCAAGCCGCCAAGTCCGAGAGTATCGCGCCAAAGCCCGAAATCCCGAAACCCCACCCCAAACCCTAAACCCTAAACCCTCTGTGTGTGTGTGTGTATGTGTGTGTGTGTATGTGTGTGTGTGTGTGTGTGTGTGTGTGTGTGTGTGGGGTTTCAGGGTCTGGGGCTTCGAGTTCAGGGGTCCAGGGCTTGGGCCTGAGGGTTTGGGTTGAAGGTTTCTGGTTTGCTTAGACCCCCAACTAATATAGGGGCCTAAATAACTAGCTACCTATACTATTTTTGGGGGTTCCTTATTAAATTTATAGCATAATGGCCCCAAAACCCTATTCTGATCATTAAGGCCCCTATATTCCCCGCCATTATACATCCGAAACACCCAGTATTGAGCGCAGCATAAGGGCTTTAATTACACTTCAGACCAACAAGACCTGAACTACAGAAAGCCTTGATGTTTACTTAAACCGAGCCCTCAAGTCTAAACCCGCAAAGCCACTCATCTCTCTCGCTCTCTCTGCGCGACGCGTGAGGTGATGGCCATCTGCCTGCCTAAACCCTAAACCCTAAACCCTAAACCCTAAACCCTAAACCCTAAGCCCTAAACCCTAACAACGTGCGTGAGGTGATGGCCATCTGCCTGCAGTACGGACACTCCGAGGCTGCTGGCCAGAGCGAGTGCATGTGGGTAGTTCTCTAGATGAGGGTTTAGGGTTTAGGGTTTTGGGTTTTGGGTTTAGGGTTTTGGGTTTAGGGTTTAGGGTATCCAGCAAATGGGTAGTTCTCTAGATTAGGGTCCCTTTTTATTGGGGTCCTTTTTTTTTATACGGGTTCCGTACTATGTTGGGGACCTAAGAAGGAACCCTAATTTAGAGAACTACCCATGTAGAGAGGCTAGCAAGATGTCTTCGCCAAAGAAAGTAGAATTCGAGGAGCTTTGAGCCGAAGATCTATCCCAAAACACCCCATAGTACCCTCGTATTATGGTACCCTTGTAGGAATTTTGTAGAGGATTCATCAAAAGAATCTCCCCCTGAAGTCAACAAGTTGCCAGGGCACCTGCTGCGGCGGCTGCATCTTGGCTTCATCACGAAGGGGAGAATCGGCTATGCAGCTTTAGACGGCTTAATTTCTAGGGAACTTTCATAGGGTCATAGGCTTTTATGGGCCTTTTTGGGCTTTATAGGGTTGCACGGGTGTTGTAGGGTTGAGGGCATAGCGTCTTACTATGTAGAGTACGGTACGGATTCGGGTTTTTTAGTACCACATAGGAACCCATCCGGGGAAGGCTTGTCAACACACTCCACTCCGAATCCCTATATCCTCGGTCAGCTATCCAGCTCGGGCAGAGCGCGGCATACGGGTTCTGCATGTAAGGGTTTACGGGTTTTGAGTTGAAGGGGTTAGGCTTTAGGGGTCTGGGGTTTAGCGTTGCTCAACCCTGCTACAGAATACTGTGTGTCTACGTGGTATTCTCATGCCCGCATACTATCACAGTGGCTTACAGTTTTTTCTGGATACGCGCGTATCATTGCAAACGGTGCTTGCGCAGCTGCGGAGTTAAATTCGCAGCTCTCAGCCGCGGTGCTCGCCGACCACGAGCAATGTGCTACTACTCGTATGGTGTACTTGCAGACGTGTGGTTTCCGAGTTTCTTGTGCGGTCACTACTGAGTATGCCATGGCCCTTAATTGCCACCCTACGCCAGAGATTCCACGCCCTGCGCATCTGTTGGTATTTCGTTGTCCACTTCATTCCCACGCACGCTTAAGAAAGAAAATCAGAGGGCTACCCTCATCGAAAACCCTAAACCCTAAACCCGTAAACCCCTAAACCCCTAAACCCCTAAACCCTAAACCCCTAAGTAGAAGTCGTGATTACTAGAAGGCATGTGGAAGCAGCCTGCAAATCACGACTCTTGTCTTTTTAGTGTATGCCTGTCGAAGGCGGGTTCCGACCTCGTGCGGAGAAAAGGGGCCACTACACTTACAAAAAACCCTAAACCCCTAAGCCCCTGAACCCCTAAACCCTAATCCCGAAACCCTCGACCCTTAACCCCAAATACTTCAGGGCTCAGAGGCAGACTGGCGTTCTCCACCAAGCCCCAAAGCGTTTCTATACAAAAAATCACGGGAACCCTATAGCATTCCACTCTTACTACGGCACCCTACTTCGAGGCCCAGGGGGCTTAGTAAGTCGGTTATAAGTAGGGTTATAATTGGGGTAACTCCATTTAGGGCACTTATAACACTACTTAAAACCTAGTTACTAGGTCCCCTGTATAGTTTGGAACCCAACTAAGGGAGCAGTGTTGACAACCACCCATATGTTGGAATGACAGACTCCACCTCCTTCAACCTGGGGCAACAGTTTTTTGCAGAATGCGAAACAAGCCGCGTTCGGAACTCCACAAAGTCTTCGTTGTGTGCTGTTTCTTTTTGCTGTTTCAGTCATGTTCTCAGTCACCAGCTCGTGCGGCTACCCTTATCATAGGCATGAACACATGTGAGTTCATCTGATTGCTATGGAAACGTGTCTTTGCTCCGGGTTTACTTACTGCGAAGTTTTTTGTCGTGTTCTGCAGCTCTCGTGCCCTGCCCAAACCCTAAACCCTAAAAACCCGTAAAACCCATAAAACGCTTAAAGCGTTTAACGCCCATAAAACCCTGCAAGCCCTTCAAGCCCTTAAAACCCCTCAGCCCTAAACCGAGGCCTGCTGTCGGTGAAGGATATCTTCGGGGGAGGATGGCCGATGCCTTGGTCTGCTGTTATCGTCTGAGGTTAGAAGTATGGGCCTTTCTAAGGACCCTTAAGGGTACATATAGGGTATATAGTAGGTGCATAAGGATCCCAGGGTTAAGGGCCCATGCTAGGGGCCCATGGGTTCAACCTTAGATATCGGCTGGGGGTTCGGATCGGCGGGCGTCGGGCTCAGGGCTTAGAGGCTTTGGGGTTTAGGGGGTTTAGGGGGTTTATAGGGGGTTTAGGGTTCAGGGAAAGGCGCATTCATATGATAATTCTTACAAAGTCACCTATCAGGGCCTCTGGGCTTTGAGTAGTCTCAGGCTTTGTGCTTTGGGCTCGGAAGGCCCAGAAGAATGGAATGCGACTCAGGTTCCGGCCTTCATGTTGGCTCCGGATCTTGAGGGTTCTCTCCTATCTGTTTGGAACGGTCTTGGACCCTAAACCCTAAACCCTAAACCCTAAACAGCACCCGAAACTGAAACCTAAACCCAACTCCGGGGCAGACTCGTGGCAGGATTCCATCAAAAAGGTTGACCCACGAGAAGGTGAACCCTAAACCCTAGACCCTAGACCCTAAACCCTAAACCCAAAACCTAGAAACATACAAAGCCCGAAGATGTCAGAAATCTTGCAAGGCGGAGGCCGTGAACTGTAGGGACCGGAATGATTACGGTTGATGATAGAAATCCTGCATTACCTTAAGGACCCTAAACTATGGGAATTGTGGTATATTCCTTATTATGGGTCATGCAGGATTTAAATCTTCAACCGTAGCAGTGGTATTCCCGTGTAGTCCTACATACAGTGTTGTTTTCTTGGTACAACATATCCTAGAGCCCTGTTCCACCTATCGAGCCCTGATACAAGCCTAAATCCTGCACGAAGAGACTGAAGCCTAAACCCTAAACCCTAAACCCTAAACCCTAAACCCCTAAACCCTAAACCCTAAACCCTAAACCCTAAACCCTAAAGCCCCGAAGGCTTGAGCCCTGTCCCCAAAACCTTCGAACCCCCCAACACTAAACCCTACTTAGAGGCCCAGGGG